CAGCCCTCCTGTCTTCTTATTGAAACAAGTGAATAATTCTCAGGAAGAAAAACAAGCTTCCATAAACAAGAGCTTTCACAAAACTTGGTCCTTGTGGTCCTAATGTGGGAGAGCCAGGGCATTTCCAGTTCTCTAACTAGTTAGAGACATCAATACCTTACCTAAGCTTCTTTATCCTAGTTAGTAATGGTGGCCATTTGGAGAAACTTGATTTTGAAAATCCAAGCTCAATTTCCAAAAGCATCATCTAATTTATACAGTAAACTCAGAGATGAAAACAACACATTTAGATAATGATGTCACCTTTCCATTTACTGATTAAAAACTTTACCCTCAATGTTTTCAGCAAAAGCAAACAATACATCTTCTTTCTCTTCCTCTCCCTACCCCTTCCTCCTTCTCTTCCTCCTCCACATCTTTACCCTCTTCCTCCTACTGTTCTTTTTCCCCTTTCTTTTAAGATTTGAGTTTATTTCATGGAGGCCAGAATATGGCACATGATCCCCTAGAGCTGGAGTTACAGGCAGTTGTGAGCCACTGAGTGGATGTGGGTGCTAGGAACCAAACTTGTGTCCTTGAGCACTTTTAACCACTGAACCCTCTCTCCAGCCTTCCCTCTTTTTTATTTCATTACTAAAATATTCCTTGCACATCCCCTTAAGTACTCACGCATTGAGTGGGGACATCTGAATATCTGTTTCAAAGAATTTTTTTCCCTAGAATGAAAAACTTTATTCAAAGTTAAGGAGGATATGCAATAAATAACAGTTACTAACAGAAGAGCAAATGTTCACTCTAAGGAAAAAAATAACTATTGTACTTTAAGCACATTTCTAGTTCCATTTCAGATCCTCTCAATAGGCAAAAATCCTTGCAAAGTAGATGTGTGATATTCTAAATATATGAGGAATTTTGTCCTCTTGAGATGAAATTTTTCCTTTCTTAGGTCCATTCATCTAGGTTTATTAGATTTTCCTGTATAATGAGATAAAATGTTCTCTGTGTATCTTCTACCCATGGACCTCTACCGATCACCTACAGCCACATCCAGCACCCACTTTCCTGAGGCCACCTTTTAGTCTTTCCAGGTCCTCTACTCAGAGAACAGTGTCACTATTACTTATGAATCTAAAGAACATATCATCCAATTTCCTTTAGGGAAATCTCCTATTTCCTTTTGGGAATACTTTTTTGTTTACATCCTTAAAACTTGGTAATAACAGTTTATTATAGTTTTTAATGTGTTCCTTCAATGGGTTATAGCACAATTCAGTTTTATCCTTCCATTATTACAGTAACATGTTACTATAAGTCCAGAGTCCATGTTGATATTTTGGGGTAGCCAACAATGATCCACATTGATAATAGAGTGAATTATAAATATGAATGTCTTTTCCTATGATCACTCCACAATAATTGTGTCTCTGTACTCAGGTTACTAGTAAAGGCTCCTCAATCTCTTTGTAGAAATAATTTCTTAAACTGAAAAGTTGACATCTAGGGACTTTCAGTTAGAAATTTATGCCTCATTTACATAAAACTCAGCAATTCTGGATGTTTCATTTATGAACTAATGTATTTAATTTATTAACTTGGTTGTAACAGTGCTAGTGTAAGGGAAATAGGATCCCTTAGAACAGTTTGGACTTCTATGACCACTGATATATTTCACTTGCTCTACCATAAAAAAGGGAATATAATTCCCTGTCATCTTTTATGTATGCTTTCTTTCAATCATAATATGCTACTGAGATTGATTCAAGTTGCTATGAAAGGTTGTAATGACCCAAAGACCTCCATTTCTAAAGAATGAAGTAGAAATGATCTGGCTAGATCAACTGTGAGACCTTTTTTGAGTTCTGGAAGTCAGTGAAAAGCTCTCTCCTTTGTTTTGCAATAATTAAAATGTAGGAATTTTGACCTGAATCAGTTGCCATGACACCATAACAATACCGGGAATGACAGTTTTGATGCGTAATCCAGTGAGAGCATTGACATTGCATGTCTGGTCAGGGAACATTTTATGCAGCTGCATTATGTAAGGTTAGAACCAGTGTTCCAGCTATGGATGCCCTCACTGACATCTGAGTTCTCCCACATCCAGCATTCTTCCCGGGTGACTGGCTAAGTTGGATTACACACATCGCAATTAAAAAAAAAAAATTGATAAACAGGATTAAAATAAAACTCAATTCAAAACTCCTACTTACTTCTGTTTGGCAATATACATTTGTCATGTTTAAGAATAAATCTACAAGGTCAGGCAGACTGGTATTCAAATTCTGGTTCTTAATTCCTATCTGTAAGACCATGGATAAATTGGTGAAATCGAGTCTACATTTCTTCATCTGGAAATGAGATAAGGCTAGCTACCTCCCAGGTTACTATGAAGGATTGATGAAATAATGCATGTAAAGTGATCAGAGTTCCTGGAACAAGGATCCTGTGTAGTTTAAACTAGTCATGAGTGCTGCTGTTTTTCTATAGTCAGCGATCCTATGATCCTGCAACTCTATTTTCCCAGGGATAGTCCATCTCTATGGCTCTTCACATTTGATGGAAAAAGATTGGTGTAATCACTGAGTTGTGGACTGCCAAATGGTTTTTAACCAGTGCTATAGAGAGGGAACATTCTAAAGAGAATGGATCGGAGCAATAGAATGAACAGTATGAACAATGGCCTGAGAATAGGAGGCCTGATTCCTTATGATTTCTCTAGCAATGGGACATTTCATGATTTTTGAATGAACCATTAAATTTCTTTGGGAAAAGCAAAATCCTTAATGGTTTAGAGCACAGTATTTTTTGTTTGTTTGCTTTTGTTTTTCCCCATTTGAACCATATTTTACCACCTAATCTCAATTTTCTTAAACATTTCCAAAGGAAATTTCCCCTTAGGCAGGGCAATATTGCACAGAAGTAAAGAAAATGAGTTAAGTCTCAGTTTCAACGTTGCTATTACCAATACGGATGAGATTCCATGGAGTTTATTTGATTTCTCTGTTGTTTGACTTCTTGATTTTAAAATAAATTTCTATGAGTTGGCTAAGAACATTTTAAATGATGTCTGACCCAGAATAACCCGTTAACAAATGTTAAGTATTATTTGGAGAATAGCCATTATGGTATTTACCTCTTCAGATTGTTGAGCATATCCAGATGAGACAGGATAGTCTAAGTGTCTGGGACAGATCCTCAAGCTATCTCACATGCTATTGCTAAACATTGTGACTTATGAAAACACAGTTTGGATAGATGTAATGAGGAGATTGTGAGGAAAAGTCAAATTTCCCAGTACTGAAATAATAGGATCATTATTTTTTCAATGAGAGAATAAGGAAACATGAATGGGAGATACTGAAATTGCAAAATCCATGATAGAAAAGAATGATTTTAGTTTTTGCTTTATAACAGGAAAAATCAAGCAGAAATTCTCAAATCAGTCAATAAAAGTTTATAAAAATAACAGTGATAATAATACCAATAAAATACGTTTGCATGAATAAACAGTTCTTTATAAGATAGAGGCCTTGCTCTATGTAGTTTGTGTTCTCTGCAGAAAAACAAACACTAAAGAAATAAGTATAGTCATAAAAAGGGACTCAATATGTTGATTTCTCTACAGAGGTAAGAAGATCAACAACACGTTAGAAAGTGACTTGGAAATGAGCAAAAGAGAGTCTGATTTAGATTTTTGTAAATAGAAGTCTCTGAAAAACTAACAGTTATGATGATTGATGTATAATGGTACAGAACCAGGCATTCATAACACCAAGTTTTCTGGGCAGACGGAGCACCTGACCTATGATACTGAAGTAGAAAGGGGCTCCATATGTTGGAAGAGTTGGAACAGTGTGGATAGCTCTAGAATGTAATAAATGAGGCTTTGAAATAACAATATGATTTGATATTGGAGGATTCATAAGCACCTTGTGAGACACAGCTAGGGCTTGTATCTAATTCCACATGTGAAGTTTAATGGAAAATAAATTAAAGGCTGTAAAATTTAACCCAACTGCCCTAATGTATTTTTTTTTCTGATTAGTCATCTCATGTTATTATGTGAAAAATGGCTTGATAGCAGTATCCAAATAGGATCAAGAAAGCTGAGAAGGCTGGAGTGATATGAGTAGCCTCCTTCAGAGGACTGGGTAGAGGTGGAGAGATTCATAGGATTTTCCAGAGAAAGATTTTATAGGTTTTATTGGAAGAGTGGACATCAGAAATCAGATAGGAATTCTAAGATACTGGCCCGGGAAATTGAATTTCTGTTGCAGCCACTTCCAAGGATAGGCTAATTGATGGAAGTTGGGACTAGAGAGTTGAGGGGCTCCAGCCTAAATAGCTGTATCATTGTTATTTTACAAGTAATTTTAGTGGTACACCTAAGATGTTATTTTTTAGTGGTAAATCCTATAATTATACTTATTTTTATTTCATTAGTATAAAAGAATAAATTATTAGATTGAGATTACTTCATTTAAAATATCTACTGATGTTGAATGCCTGAACAGGCATTCTTGAACAATAATATGCAAATGTCCCAAAATATCTGACATAATTCTCAACATGATTAATCAAAAGAGAAGTTAAAACCAAGATCATAACAAGATATCATTTCTTCTCATTTAGAATGTCTATTATCACAAAGATCAAGAAATATTAGCTAAAAATTTTAGAACTTCAATTAGTGTTGTCAGTGCAGAAGACAAAGGATGGAATTCTCATATACCATTGGTAAAAATGTAAATTAGTATAGTCATTATGGAAAACAGTATGATATTTCATATATATAGAACTGTTATCCAGATATCAATTCCTTGGCATACATCAGAAAAAGGGAATTACTAATATTGAGAGAATATTATATTTTTACCAAAACAATATCTTGAAAAAAATCAAGATTATAGGATCAATCTAGATGACTGTTGACAGAAAAAATAAAGAAAATGTGGCCTTTCTGCACTCCCACGGGCCTAGTGAGCAGGCACAGCCTGAACATGCAAAACGATGCCAGCGAGTTTGTGGACCTGTACGTGCCACGGAAATGCTCCATGAGCAACTGCATCATTGGTGCCGAGGATCACGCATCCATCCCAATGAATGTAGCACAGGTTGACAGGGTCACAGGCCGGTGTAATGCCCAGTTAAAAACATATGCTCTCTGTGGGGCCATTCAAAGGATGGGTGAATCAGATGACTCTATTCTCTGGTTGACTAAGACTGATGGAATTGTCTCAAAGAACTTTTGACCAAAAGAGATAGGGGAATATTTGTCATGAATAAAAGTGAGAAACAAAAAAAGAAAGAAAGGAAGGAAGGAAGGAAGGAAGGAAGGAGGAGAGAAGAAGAAGAAGAAGAAGAAGAAGAAGAAGAAGAAGAAGAAGAAGAAGAAGAAGAAGAAGAAGAAGAAGAAGAAGAAGAAAGAGAGAAGGAAAGAAAGAAAGAAAGAAAGAAAGAAAGGAAGGAAGGAAGGAAGGAAGGAAGGAAGGAAGGAAGGAAGGAAGGAAGGAAGGAAGGAAATGTGGTAAACACATGCAATAGAATATTATCCAACCATAAAAATATTCTGTTATTTTCAGAAACATGTACAGGATCAGAAGACAGTAGGTTAGGAGAACCATATTTAGTACAAAAAAGGCAAATGCTTTTGTCATTTGTATGAGGAAGCAAGAGTTAATCTCAAAGAAGAGAATAGCATAGTGGTTATCAGAATCTGGGATGGGCGTTAGGAGCAGAGGGATGACGAGATGATAGTAGAAGCAAGTGTGGGAAAGGAATTGGAAAATGCGGATGGATAGAGGACAATTAGTGGAAGCAAATGTACAGTTACATACAAAGAATAATGTCTAATGATTTAATAATACAATAGAGTATAATTGATATCAACTTGTTGAATATTTCAAAAATAGATGTTTCTACACATGAGTAATTGATATCTGGGCCCAAGGAGATGGTACAGTTCACAAACTACCTTTTTCCCAATCATAAGGATCTAAATTCATATATACAGCATTTGTGTAAAACTTGGACATGGCAACCTAAATGCCTGTAATCCCAACACTAAGGAGGTGGAGACAGGAGAATTCTTGATATCCACTAACCAGATAACTTCACCTGATTGAACCAGGCAGTGGTGGTACATGCCTTTAATCCTAGGACTTAAAAGGCATAGGCAGGTGGATCTCTGAGTTCAAGACCAGCCTAGTCTACAGAGTGTGTTCCAGGAGAGTCAGGGCTACACAAAGAAACTCTTTCTTGAAAAAACAAAAAGCGAACCAACAAACAATAAAAAGCCAAACTTTACCTTCATCTGATTATGAGGTCTAGGTTCAATTGGAAATCCTCAAAAAACAAGCCATAGAGCAATTGAGGCACGTGGGCGTATCCCTGGACTATTGAACAGAACAAAATAATCATACTATCTAATACCTATTGAGACCTTAATATAGCAGGAACTGCCATAAAATTTATATAGTATAATTTACTTAATTTTAACTTGTGTACTCATGAGGTAGCAACTGTAAAATTAATGAACAATTAGAGATAAGAAGTAATGTAACCTGCCTACATTTCCAGATGCAGGACCATGGAGAGTCTGCTTTCATCACCATGGTCTTCTAACCTTCAACAAGACATTTGAGCATTTTCCTCACAAATAGGAAACAACATGAGACTATATATGTGGCCTAGTCCTCAAGCACTGTAGTAGTTATGAGAAAATACATATAGGCTGCATAATATATTGTTTTGCTCAAGGATGATCTGGTTAGGACTTGGTTGAAACCCTGAGAGAGACCATTTCTGCTCTTTGTATTTGTGCAGGTGGCCAGTTATACTCACTCATCACCATTATTAGCAACTATTGGGAGTTTCTAGGTGCCATGCCCATATTCATAAGTACTGTAGGTATTAGCAACAATCTTCATATGAGCCTTACCCTTTCACAGATGGAAAAAGGCTAAGTCAAATTCACAGGATCCCATAGCATGAAGTACCAAAGGCTGTGTTTGAAGTTTGCCTGTGTCTAGCTTCAAAACCCAATGTTTCATCAGTGGAAATCAAAGGGCTATGCACAGCCAGTGGCAAGGATAAAGGGCTGATTTGCATGTATTCCAATTATCACATTATGTGGGCTTTGAAAAACAAAGAGAAATAGAGAAAAAAAAACATTAGCTAAGAAGAGTTACTGGAAGATATTTTCAGGGGAAGAAAGAATGTAAGAGCTGGAGAATGGGGAGGAGAGCTGTGAAATGCTGTCCCCTGGATATGACACGACTGTTGCACACATGGAGTCACTACAGCTGTGGTTACCTATACATGATCAAGCCAGTTAAAGTTTCTCCAGCAGGAAGGGGAGGGACTACTCCTGGCTGAGACCCTATTGAAAGTTGACAGTTGCTGAGGAAGAAAAATCACTTTTCTTTGAAGTGTGGCTTCTGGTAGGTTGTCTGTGCCCCCATGGATGATACCATACCCAAACTCATATGGGTAGTACCAATTGGACTCAGTGGGTGGGTAGATTATGAAAAAGACTAGAAGACATAACATTGTAAGGAAGATGTATTGGGGGAGAGACAATGAAGGAAGGGAGGTAGACAAGATCAAAATGTACTATAGGCATATATGAAAATTTCAAAGTATAAAAACGTATAGAAGCATCAGATTACTCCTAATTTTAAGAGAAAATCACAAAATAAGACTTTTAAAAAGTAGCTAGGAATGGGTATCATTTATTGAGTGATGCTAAATCTCAAGAAAATTCATGTTTTACCTTATTAATACAATAACTCTAAAATCCTGTACTAGTGGAGTTGATATGTTCACGGCCGTTCAATGTTGGGTTCAGGATCCTGGCACTAAGCTATAATGCTAAAGCTTTTGCTTTGTTTTAATGTGTTCATGTTACAATTGTAATACAATTGGACAATGCTTGAAATTGAGAGTGGTGGGAGCATGCAGGGCAATGGGTTATCCTCAAGGAAAAAGATCCCAAATAAATCCCAGTTCACAAGAGCATGTAGAAAACTGTGTAGTTTTTCTAGTTGGCCTTTTCTTTCTTATTTCTTTTAAAATTTCACTTCATTTATCTTTCTTGAAAAAGCCAAAGATAACTCATTATTATAAAGTTTTTTTTTTGTATTTACCAACTTAAACTTGTTTGTGTAGGGATGTGTTTTATATATGTTTGCCAGAAGAGTGTTGTGGGGGGGCATTATGTAGTATGTGTGTCTGTGTGTGTATGTGTTCCATGTGTGGGAAGGGTGTGTGAATGTGATGTGAATGTGGCAAATGAATGCACTTGTTAAGTGCTTAGGGGGGAAATTATATAAACAGCATTTACAACTTCAATTTGATCCTGAGCTATAGAAGAGATTTAAATGAGATATAGTAAGAAAATGGATACTGAGTTGAAAGTAATTAATACTTAGGAAGGAAAAGGTATACCACATATTTGTGCTTTAATCTTCATTATGAACTTTCTTGGACATTTTATCTTGAACTGAACTCCTAGCTGCTAAATGTAAGCAAAAACATTTACTTCACAATATGAGTATAAGAATGTTTAATGTGCTTTATAAGGTCTGATTCTGACATTAGTAATAAAGGGATTTTTTCTGAGCCAGAAAATAAGTCATAATTTTTAATTCATTCTAAGCAAACTAAAGTTTTAACTAAAAAAACCTTTGGAAACTTAAAGAATGAGGTTTTCTTCTTATCACTGAATATTCATTTGTCATTGCAGTTAGACTGATTCCATCCTGTTAGAGATAGAACTAGACAAAGAAATATTGACTTATCATTTAATCACTAAAATTATAATGTCATCTGGGTAATCTGAATTTAATATCTGTGTGCAAGAGGATGTCGTAGAAGAGTGTGGTCAATTACTCTAGCACTCAGATTTTACAGCTCTAGATCCAGGGCACAGAGAGAAGAACTGCTAAAACTTAGCTTTTAAAAATAATGTAGTCAATGCTTAATTGACTAATTAAGTCTAAATGCATTTGGTTTCTAGTCTGCTTTTTCTCGGCTCCTCCCCCTATCCCTTTTATCTGTCATTATCGCCTTGAAAAACTACTAAATGGATAGACCGCTTCATCTGTATGTTTTTATTTATATACCGAGAATTTGATTTAAGAAAGCAGTCGTCTGTTTTGGTTGCTTCTTAGAAGAAGCTGGGGTGGAAATAAAATGATTAAGTGAACTTAAATATATATGGGTACTTCTGCATAAAAAGTCATCCTCTAAATCCAATAATTGACCAGAAATATGTACAAAGTCCAACAAAGACATAATTTGCCAGAATTTTAAAAAGATTTTGACTTTTTCCCCCCGGGGCAGGATTTATGGGTGTAGCCTTGATTGTCCTGGAACTTGCTTTGTAGATCAGGCTGGCCTCGAACTCACAGAGGATCCACTTGTCTCTGCTTCCTAAGTGCTGGGATTAAAAGCATGTGTCATGACCACCCAGTTATAATTTTGATATTTTATTGTAATATGTGCATAATCGTGAAAGGAAAACATATGTTAGACTGTTCCCTTGTTTTGAAGATTCACAATTTTACAATTTTGAGTTCTGTATCTTGTAAAAAGTATGTGTCATATAATCAGAATTGATTGAGAAGTATTTTCTTCATCTCTGGGAAAAATGGGTTTTCTTGCTCCCAATGTTCTTGCTTTCAGTGATAAACTTGAGTGTTATTCCTCTTGCTCTTGACCTTTTATTGGTTTCCTCTGTGTTACACTCTCAAATTTATCAATACAATTGCTTAGTTAAAATAATATCCACAGCCCGTATTTAGCAGATGTTTTTTCACATAGCATCCTCAGTCAATAGATAGACAGCCTGAGGACTGTGCATCTACCTTAGGCCATTTATTGGCTAGGTCACTCATGATCAAAGAAAAGCCTATAACTTCTCCTTCCTTAATCAGGTGAGGCAGTTTCTTGCAGACATGGCACGCATTGTGGAAGACACCATTTTTATCACTCTTATATTTGGAGATTGAAGGGAATTTGGTTCTCTCTTCATGGAATAAGAAATCTCTGACAGAGAAGAAATAAATTTTGTCCTAAAACAGATGTCTTGAAATTGTTATCCAAGCAATTGCATCTAGTCAGTGTATCATATCTGGATACTTTGAAATGTTTCTCCTCTGCTTGGTATTAACAGTCTGGCAATCGACTTTGTTAAAGAACACTATCTTGTGTTGAACACTTTCTTTGTGAGGTATCTTTTTTTTTGTTG